ACAGTGTAAGTAACCTAGAAACTTCTTTATTAAACTCAAATGTTCAGTAAGGTAATAATTATAAACTCTCTAAAGCCTCCCTCCTCTTGGGAAGCAGCGAGCTGCCTGCTTTTCATTGCAGCGGCGAAGTGTTGCATAAAACCGCTGTAGGTTATGGTAAAAACGCTTTCAGAGATCTGAATTCAAATGTAGCATCACCACGAAAACAAAAATAGTACAGCGCGATTCCAGAACCGGTCGCTGATAAATGGAGATTTCTCTGGTTTTGAGAGCAGGTTTTGATGTGCCCCGTTTGGTGGTGGCCACAGGGAAGGAGTCGAGGTGGGATTTGTGTTTGCCAGTGGTTGCCGCAGGAAAATCTGCTGCTTTAGTAAATAATAGATGCTCGAACCATCTTTATTTTTTTAAAAATTGCCTGTCATGACTTGGCTTTGTAAAAATAAAGTCATCTGGAGCCAGCAAATGGGAATTCGTTGGCACCGAAGCAAGCATTTGGGTATGTGCCACCACCAAGCGCTCCAAAGGTGTCCCCCTCCTTGACTCCAAGCATGGCCAGCGCAGCTGGGGACAGGGTCTGTGGCTTCAACAGCCACCGAGATGGATGAGACTGCAGAGGAAGGGCTGCTGCAGGCCCTGCAAGCTGATCAAGAGTTAATTGAATGAGGAGGATGAGGTGTACCTGAGTAAACACCAGCATCTGGAACCCATTCAGGAACTCCCAGCGCTGGGGCAGACGGCTCAGTGCAGACAAGACGGAACAGCAAATAAGATAAGCATTTAGGAATGTAGTAAATAAGTCAGGAGATGATAAATTAGGAAACGGAGAGGTGCTCGACACGGGAGCTGTTCAGCTGCCAAAGATGTGGGCCTGTTGTACTGCTCTCTGTAGAGGTGTGTGACTGGGAAACGTGGGAGTTGTCTGGAAAAATCTCCTGCTAACAGGTGAGTGGAGAGGGTTTCTCTTCCCAGTTCTGAGGATCCTGTCACACCGATGGGTACCTCCGCTGCGGCTGTGTCTGAAGGACAGGCACAATGCACGGGGATGCCTGGTCTGATCTCCAAGCGCAGAAGGAGCTGATGGGCTTTTCTCTGCTCAGGGATGCGGCTCGAAAAGCAAAACGGCTGAGACCTGGGCCCAGCTCTGGCTCAGTGACTGCCAGACACCCTGGGGCGATGGGTGCTGATGGATGTTTACCATGAGCACCCACAAAACCCACAGCCTGGTGAGAAAAACAACTTCATTGCTTAATTAAATCCGTCCTTTAAAATCCCTCTAAACGCCCTGGGTCACCAACAGAAACAAGACCATTGAGGAGCAGGAAGGGAGTAGCACCGTCTTGCTTTCACAACGTAGGATATTTTTCTAGGCGTACCTAGAACAGCAAACTCCTGCGCAGACACAGCCCCTGCCCACGGATTAACTCAGATACCACAGGTCTTCCTCACATGGTGTAAAGCTTTGAAGAAAGCCGTAAGCGTCTTGTTTTATGTGACTATGATACCAATCCCCAAGGCAGTTTAACTACAGAGTCAGAAGAAACATCAGCTCAAGGTCCTTTTATTTCTGTGAACAAAGCAGCGCTGCTGTCAAAAGAAACCTGACCGGACTTCCGAGGAACACCCCAGGAGCAGACTGGGATCTTTTAATCTCTCCTCTAAATAAAGACACCAGGGAGCTGAAGACTCACCCAAGAAGCAGCCATGGCATGAAGGTCACCTTCTCCTTCTGGAAAGATTTAGTGCTGTCCAGCAGCGAGGAGCAGAGACTGAATTAAATATAACTGAGTACAACCAAAGGCAACAAGCAAAAGAAAAGCTACAGCTACACCTAGAAATGGATGTTTGTACACCAGGATCACTGAAAAACTACTTCACCAAAGGGACTGGGATAGCAGAGCCTCCTGAGGTAGGAGATGACTGGGCATGGAAACACTGACCAGGAAACATCCCCTGGCAAAAGCAGCGTTACAGAGAGGAGGCAAAAATCCCAGGAAACGGTGCAAAACGCTATCAGAAAACACAGGCGCTAAATCTTAGCAACCAGGACACGTGAAAAGGAAGAGGAGGAAACAATGAACTGCGTAGGAAGGAACAAAAGTCAAGGAAGTCCTGCAGTTACCCGCCTGGGAAAGGGAAGACCTAAAACACAGCGCTCAGAGAAAAACACTCGGGTACACGGAAAGAGGACGGCGCAGTCGTAAAACTGGGCTCTATCTTATCGCACGGAAATTAAAGTGAGTTTTCACTGCCTTAGCACCGGCGCGTGGAAGTCCAGGAAGATGGGCAAGGCTCCCTTGTGGGGGGAATAATCAGAGAAAAAAGGGAAAACATCAAAGTGAAACACTTCTCCAGGCAAAGGAGGAAAAAGACGCTTTTCTGTCAGCATAAATGTCAGCTTTAGAAAAGCCCAATGAGCCTATGACAACAGAGACATGGAATAAATTAAGGGCATTTGACTAGAAAGTCAAATAAACTCCCCAACAACCATCACGAGCTGTAGGAGAGACAGAAATGAGTGTTTACCCTCCTGCAGGGGCACATCAAACACCAAAGAGCTGCCCAAGCGACAAGGAAGGTGATTTTCTATACAAAATCAAGGTGTTTCTGTCCACCACCCCCCTTTTTCCTGATCTGGTGCATTATCCCTTCACCATTAATTAGCCTGGTTTATTTTTGCTTTATTTTATAGTGAAACGTTCCAGCAGCTCACAGAAGGAGCCAGTTTAATGCAGGAGATGGCACATACATTGCTTCCAGTTGGTCCCACAGGCTCTTTTATCAGCTCTGGAAGAAGATCCCCCTGTCTCTGTTACTGACACTGCAGCACCCACGCCTCACCCACCCCGGCAGAGCCGATCCTGCTCACCAGCAGGTAAGGACTGCCCACAAAACCAAACCCACAACAGGATCAGGGGAGGAAGGAGCCGGCAGCGGCGTGGAGGGGCTCACACACACCCCGGAGCGCTGCGGTTTCTCTGCAGGAGCCTGGGAGGAGGAGAGCGGCGTCTCTGCAGCACCGCCACCCTCCGGCGCCGCGGAAAAGCCGCTTTTCCTGCAGAGGAGCGTGTCCCAGCCCGGAATCACTCCGGATTCAGCCGCTTTCGGTCCCACTGAGAAAGACAGAGCCGAGAGGAAACCTGGACGGGAAACTGCCCGTCCGTGATGTGACAAATCCTGCAGGTCAGCACTGATTTTGGGGCACCAGTGTTGTCACCGCAGTCCCCCGATGCCACCGGCTGATCGAGCAGGAGAGAAATAATTCATCATCTTTCTTTTCCATAAAATTTTCAGGGTTTAGGGGCACATCCTGGAAGATGTTATCCCAGGTCCTCAAAAAGGCACATGTGGAGCTCAGGATACAAGAACTCCAATGAACCGTGAAAAATGAGTGACTTCCCCCAAGGCAGTTGTGACAATATTTAACTGAGGGAAATTCCCTTTCCGAATTCTTTCTGTGCTGCTTCACCCAGGTGACTGCGTGATCACGGTATAAAACATCGAGCGATGCACACAGGAAAATCCCAGGTTCACCCGTCAGAAAAAACCCTTTAAAAAGGCCGCTGAGATATTGAATCTCATTTATCTGAAGCCCCCTCGCAGAGCAAACCAAGGCAGTAAGAGCAGAGCCGCACACACATCATCCAGAACGCTTCATCAGAAAGGGTCAAACGCCGGTTTCCTAATTTGCGGTCTTTTAATGGCAATTTTCGCAATAATTTACAAATTTGTTGTTATGCACGTTATCTATATCCATTTAGTCATGAAAAATGTCAGTTAATTCAGCTCTCCTGTGAGAAGCAGTTGTAAAAAGGCCCTGGCTCAGGTCTGGTCTCTACTCCCGCAGTCTGATGTTAATAACACAGGCAGCCAAGCGGGTTTCTCACGCTGAACCTGCCCAGCCCGCGCATCCCAATCCTTCCAGTTTGTTCTCTGCTCGCACCAAGGTGAGGACCTGGAAGCTCCGGGGCGCTGAGGGGGTGGATTTATGGCGCAGCAGTCGCAGCGTGACGGGGGCAGGAAGCAGACAGCGCGCTCCAGCCCTGGCAGCGATGCAGCCGCTGCGGCGCAGTGAGCCGATACTGCAGGGCTCAGCGCAGCACCGAGGTCTGCTCATGCTGCGAGTGCAATGCTAGGCAGCAACTCGTCCCCTACACCAGCGTTACCAGTCCCTCATCTCTAGGTGTAACAAATTCACCCGCAGGATTCTGTTCAAAGGGAGGGAGATACGGAGACCTGAGCCCAAAACACAAACAGCAGCACAGACCGAAGCTGGAGGATTCCAGGCGTTCAGCTACGCTACCCCTCAGCAGAGAGGAAATAAATCACAGGGTATTACAGCGTGGAGTTTTTCCACCTGAGCTGTTTCCATCACCTCAGGAATTCACCCCTGGAACTTGCTTTCCAGTGAGACCAACTGTTTGTCTTTTACTTTCAAGACACTTCAAGCCAATGCGGCTTTGTGCCTTCTTGGCAAGAATAAGTCAGCAGCAGAGTTTCCCAGAGAAATGCAACACAGCAAATTAAAACTGCAATCAATCTGGACTACCAGAGGAAGCGGGGGCAGAGCAGGTGGGTACCGCAATGAACACCCCCAGTTCTGCTGAGGGAAGGAAAGTCAGGACTCTGTCTGGAAAAGCCCAGGAAGTGTTAAACCTTGCACCTGCACACACACCACGGAGTTCTCCCTGCACTGAGCAGCAGCGGTTTCACAAAGACTTCCCCCCTCAATGCATTTACAGCAGTGGAACCATTATCCCAACAGTTGGATCACCCATTCTTGTATAGTTTATATTCAGTGTACGAAAATAAAGGGAGGACGTTGCAGCAGCCCCCAGAGGAGAGGGAAGAGTGAAAAGGTTGTGATAAGCAGTCAGTTGGCATGGACAGAAACTGGGAGCTCCCTTCCCCCTCACCTTCCTCCCCTCTACAGCCTGCGGTAACACAACCCACACAGGTAACCGAGCTCTCGTGGGAGAATGTGTGGCACAATAGGCTGCAGCTCCTTTCAAAACGGATTCGTTTCGGTTTATTTATTTTAAAGTCCACTGATCAGCACAAAAAAAAAAAAAGAAAGAAAAGAAAAACCCATGGGAAATGCAACTAAAGAGAAACAAAAAAAAAAAGTCCAACCGAGACCTAAGAACCCCGAGCTACAGAGATGTGAGCCTGTGCCGCACAGGACGGGACGACACATGCGCGCTGCGGGCAGGCGTGTGGCCGCAGGTGGGTTCCTCTATGTTAACCGCTGGACGATGACGGCGTTGAGCAGGTTGGCTTCCTTCAGGGTTTGGTTCTCATCAGTCAGCTCTTTATTTGGGAAGGTGGTCATGAGGACGAAGCTGGTGGCAGCCATCACTGGCCGGGCGTCCACGATGAAGAGCCGGATGTCGCGGATCCTGTGCAAAGGGATCAAACACACAGGGGTGGTGCTGTGACTGAACCACCTGGGAAAGCGCGTGGCAGCAGCCGAAATTCACCCTTCGCAGAGCACGCAACCCTGCAGTCGCTGCTTTTCAGCCAACAGGAGAGGTCACAGCCAGACAATTTGGATTTAACCTGCTCCTCCATAGGCTCCCATTCAGTGAAGTAACACCAGCTGCTTTACGGGTTAAAGGCTTTCAGCTAAATGTTCTTTCATACCGCCCAACTGGAACACTGGCGTAGTCAAGCGGCTATTTGAAACTGAACCCTTCAAGATGAACAGACCCACAAATTCCTTGGCAGTAGCTGCTGTAAGTGAGCTCATCATATGCAGCATAACCTAAATGATCTCAGCCCCCAAGAGCAGCCACAACACCAACACAGGATCTGTTTCCTCCTCCTGATCGTAAGTTTGTTGGGTTTTTCTGCATCGTGCTTGATTCTCTTACAGAAATTGGAGGAATGAGTACAAAGAAATGGCCACGCTCTCTGAGATCAGGTAGGTGAGGACTTCAGGAGGAAGTCTAATGAAGCAGCAGGGTATATAAGGCAGCTTTACTTGTCCAAGGTAACTAAACTAAAGAGCACCCCTCGGTGCTCCGTTCAGCCCAGGGAATGGCCCAGCAGAGAAGTCTGATCTAAGAATCAACCGAACCAAGTTCCTAATTACCTGACAGCTTCTAAAGCCCTTAGAAGAGATTCAGGTTTTTTATAGCTGCCATCAAGGAAAGTTCTGCAGGTAACAGTGATGCTCCCAGGCGCAGTAACATCGGCTATAACCCATCACTATTTGCAAAGCAAATGCCATCCTTCCAACAGTTAACGACTGCCTTAAAACCCCACAATAGTTTTATTCCTCTTCACCTATACAGGAGGATCCCCAGAGCCAGGATTTTAACATCTGCTCCATCTGGGCACAGCTTGCAGTGCCATTCAGGCCTTCCCAGTTATCAACCAGTGCTTCCCGTTGCGTTTGTACCTGTGATTATGGTTGAACTTCTGGACCAGGCGCCCGCCGTCCGCAAGCCGGATCTGGATGTTGGTGACGGGCTCCGACTCATTGATGGCGATGGCAGAACTGGCTTTGGCTTCGTTCTCTGCCTGCTGGGCTGGCGAGCTGGTGCCCATCACCTGGGGCGCAGTGCTGGGCAGGGAGACACAAGGAAAGCGGTTAAAAACCAAAGGACTCGCCCGACTGGGGTGCCAGGAGCCAGGCAGTGAACTGCCAGGAGACACCAATGCAATTTGGAAATGAGAATTCAGGAGTCAGCAGG